CCTCACCCAGCTAGGACAGTGACCCTGCCCACTTCCAAAGGAGGACCCCAGGCTCCAACAGGGACAGTCTCTTCCCTGGACCTGAGATGCTGGTCCAGTGTGGGGCAACACTCTGCATGACCCCTACTGTCCTCAGTCCTCCAAGGCCCCCGCCTACTGTGTTCAGAAGGACCTCTAGAGAGGACAAAGCATTTTCCAAGGGGCTTGGTGGACAGTGGGTCACTGATGGAGAACTAATGCCATCAGAAACTTCTGGAAGTCTGTGGGACCCTGGAGTCACAAAGGCCAACCACTCCAATTTTCAAAGGGGAAACTAAGACCTCCCCTGTGGCCACCTCCACACCAGGGAAGGACTGCTTAACCTAATTCTAGGTGTCCAGAGTAGTGGACACAGGACCCTGGCCCTGTCCTCTCCAGGCTGCTCTGGGAATGTCCCATGCCAGGCATACTGGGGAATCTTGAGTACCCAGCTGCCTATCAGCAGGGTATGTCCCCACCTCCCAAGCAATGGATCCCTGGCGTGTTGCTCCTACCCCTAAGGGTAATCTCCAACCTCTTCCTTCTTTTCCCTTGTCACCTCCCCAGTGTCCCATCTTCTGATACCTAGGAAGTCTGCGTGGTAGGCGTGCGTGTGGATGTCCAAAGTAAAGAGCCCGCCTGGAGGGGGTGGGCAGGGGATTCCCAGGATTTTAGGGGCTCTCATTCCCAAAGCAAAGCCCAAAGGAGGACTGAGCCGCGGCCCAGGAAGCAGGAGCCCTTCCTTCGCGGCTGGACTCTGCCACCTGGCGTGCCCTGGCCGGTCCCTCGAGACCCTGCCTCTTTCCTGGCTCAGTTTCCCAATTGTACCAGGAGCGGTGGACGCGGAACTGCGTAAGCGCGCGCTCTGCGTGGATGCGGCGCCGGCTCCCTCCCCCGGTGGGCGTGGGCGGGGGTTGCGGGCCGCCTCCACCCGCGGGCGGGCGGCCGGCCGGCCGGCTGGCCGGCTGGCGCGGACTCACCTGACAATCTACCATCATCCTCAGCCTCCGCAGCTCATCGCCGGCCCCAGGGCGGGCCCGGGGCTCGCAGAGACCGTTCGCCTCGGCCCGCGCGCGGCGCAGGGGGGCGTCCGGCTGCGGGGCTCATGGCGCGGCCTCGCGTCCCCGCCGGGCCCGGGGCTCCGCGGCCGTCGCCGTCGCCGCCAGCGCCGCTCCCATTGTCTGCGCCTGCCGCGCTGCCGGCCGCTCGGGCCCCGCGCTCGGTTCCGCCCGGGCTCCCGGGGCTCGGGCCGGGTGGGCGGGGACAGCGGGGACAGCACGGCCCCGCCCCGGCCCCGCCCCGGCCGTCGCAGGTGCGAGGCGCGGGCCCGCTCTCGAGCTCGGGGGCGCGCTCGGCCTCCCTGCGTCGGGCGCACGCGGCTGGACCCCGCGCTGCGCGTCCAGTCTTGCGTCCACAGCCCGGCGCGCACACGGGGCCTGCGCGGGACCGCGGGCGGCGCGCGCACGTGACCCCGCCTCGCGCCGCGCACGCGTCACGCACCGAGTGCTCGGCTTGGCGGGTCTCACATGTCCTTCCGCCCTAGCCGCCTGCGCTGTTCCCCAACCCTCTGCGACCTAGTACCACAGTCACCGTCGCCAGGTGGGGACTGCTGAGCTGGGTGCCCCTGCAGAGCCTGCAGTCGCCAATTATACACCCTCACCCTGTCAGGCGCGTACCCAGTGCCACCTGCTGTGTGGATGGCTGGGGTCAGGGGAACTTGAGAAGACCAGACTCAGGTCAGGTCAGGTAGCCCCCTCCTCTCCTATTCGCCCATCCTTTCCCTTCTGTGACACGACTAGATCCAGCCTGTCCCATAGGTGTAAGGGGGACAATTGGGAACCTGGGAGGAGGGGGTCTGCAACTGGTGCTGGGCTCGTGTGGGTCTCACTGTTACTAGGGAAACCTGGGGCCATAAGCACTCAAGGCCACTTAGCTCTGAGTGACCACACCAGCTGTGGGTAGGGGATTAGGAAGCAGTTCTCTTCTTCATCACTCATCCAGGACAGAGGCTCTGTCTGGTCTGGTGACAGGGATGTCACGCAGGGGACCTCCTGGGTCCAGCCTCTTGGGCACCTTTGTCTCCCTGCTTTACTCCCAACACACCCTTATGGGGGGCAGTCACTGGCTCATTTTGATCAAGGGAACTGAGGCTCTGAGAAGTCACTCGAGCCTATCACAGGGCTGTGTAGGTCCAGTGTGGATTTGAACTTAGGGCAGCAGATCTCAAGGGTGAACTCCACATAGGAGCTGAGAAGGTGGCCTGTAGCTCAGTGTGAGTCCACCGTGGATGGGGAATTGAGGGGCAGGGCCTGGGGAGCCCCCCTGGGTGAGGAAAGCTCCAGGAAGGAGCTTGGGATGTGGGTGCCCCTGGGGACAACGTCTGGACCAGATGCACAGGATTCAATTTCAGACAGGGCTCACTGCAGATTAGGGGCCAGGGGACCCCATCCAGGCAGTTTCCTAGGAACTGTGGCCTTGTAGAGCTTCAGGGGCTGAGTGGACACGTCACTCACCCAAGATGGAATCAGAGCACCTATCTCAGTGCCCTCTTGCTAACCAGGGTGTCCCAGAGCTGGCAACACAGGAAGGCAGCTGCCCAAGAAGGGTGGGTGCTCCCAGCCATAATCTGATTTACTCCTGCCCCTTGGCTCAGAGAAGTGGAGTGACCTGCCCAGTATCCCACAGGCTCTAGGACAGAGCTCTAAACAGGAGTCCCCCCCCCCCCCCCCGCCCCCCGGCATGCATGCAGCAGAAGGTCATGGAGCGCTTCCTGGGTGCTGGTTCTGGGGGAAACCCAGCTGGCCATAGCCCATCAGTGCCATCTCAGAGCTTACTGCCTGGGAACAGGGTGGGAGGGGCACAATATCACTGAAAATGACAGGATGAGGAGGGTGAATGGGAAGCAGAAGGTGCCCACTCTGGAGGGGAGCACAGATCCAAGCCGGCTTCCCTGAGGAGGTGGTATCAGGAGCAGGTCCCAGGGAACTGGTCCAGTGGTGGGTTGTGCTGGCCTGATCTGTGGGCAGTGTGACCACAGGTGTGTGGGACAGGCCCTGTGGGGCAAACGATGATGTTGGACTGTATCGTGGGATACAGCCATGATCTTATGTCATCCTGCAGGCCATGAAGGGGCTGAAGTCTCAGCTCATGGGGCCTCTGGCCGTGGTCCTCAGACACTTGCAATGTCTGTTTCTTGAAGTGCTTCCTCTGCAATTTAAAAAGCTTCAGAGCCCACAGAACTCCATGCTGCCTGCAAATCTGGCACCTGTAGTTAAAGGGAGCTTAGATCTGATCCTGCCAGGTGGGACGCTGTCCCTGGCCTCCTTATGCTGGCCCAGTCTCCACTCCTTTTTGGAGAGCAGCCAGGTCTGTAGCTTGGTTCCAGGAGTTGGGTTCTGTCTCTCGGGTTGTGTCTGAGGGCCATGCTCAGGACCACGGTTGGCCAATGTGCCCAGGGGCTTGGGCCCAGGTTGAGAAGGCCCATAGCTAGGTCTGGCTGGGCACCACGGCTTGGCATGGACCCAGAGCAAGGCTGGCATAAGCTGGGAGCAGCGTCTCCCCTGCAAGGCTGACCTGCCCAGGTCCCAGGGTCCCCTCCTCATGAGGCCTTCCCCGTCTTCACATCCAGGAGCCGCCTCCTGCTGCAGACAAGCGGCTTTTCACAGAGCTCTCCCAGCCCAGGCAGCCTAGGCACGCTCCCTCTCAGGGATGGAGAGGCCATGGTCCATTCTCGACCAGAAGACCCAGGGCCTCTCCCAACTCGGGTCCTCTCCAGCCCATGCTGTGTTTTCACACTTGTGACTCCACCTGCCCACAATCTGGGATCTGTCCCTGCTTGCTGGCTAAACTACAGGTAATGTAGGAAGAGTGGGCTCAGGGGGCAGGTTACAGAGCATCTGACTGTTTTCGGATGACCACAGTGTACCCCAAACCTACTCCATGTCTCCTCCATCCACAGAGAAGATGCTGCTGCCCCAGGGAAGTGGCCCTCAACCCACACCCAGCCCATCTCTGCCTGGCTGGGCAGACAGATGGCTGTGGGCCTCAGGCCCCGCTGGGTCCATGCTGGATCAGTGCCGCGACAGGTTCTCTGCTCCTGGCCTGCACCACTGCCCTGGAACCCTATGCCCACCAGTGGCTTCCAGGGCTGAGGTGACCCTGGATACAGGAGGGTGACAGACATACCCCTGTACTCAGGGACAAGAGCCCATGGGGTTTTCCTGCATGCAGGGTTGCGGCAAACCTCCGAGGGCTCCCACTTCTCCCTGGCTCCCCAGAGAAGGAGAATGAGCTCCTGCCTGTGGCAGCAGCCAGCCTTAGCCTGGATCTTCTGGAATAACTGTCCGCCTGGTGTATCCCCAGAGTTTGCGGAACTGTGTCAGGTAACTCTGGTTAGGACCAAGCAATGTGCCCCCTTTATTGAAAACTATTACAGAGGCAGCGGCTAGTCCGTGAGAGTGGCTCCCCAATGTCTGCAGGAACCCAGAGGGAGCCTAGACCAGGTCCATTTCCGAGGCTGACTTTGGGTCCCAGATGAGGAACTGGCTGCATATGGCTGAGGGGACATCATGATACCCAGGCAGCCAGAGAGAGGGGTCCATGGTGCCTTTCATACAGTGGTGTTAAATTGCAACTTCAAGGGCAATATGCACCTCGGGGGACCTGGCAGGATTTCAGGCCCTCAAGGGGGCGGAGACGCCAGGGCCTGCCTGCCTGAAGGTGCACCTGCTAGACGAGGCAAGCTGCAGGGCCCCATCTCTCTAACCTCTTGTCTTCCCCTCCGATGATCCCTGTGCCCGATCACTGCACCTTCAGGGGTGCGCTGCCCTAGGACGTGGACAGCACCTCCCTCACCCCTTCTCAGCTGGAATCTCCTGGTAGCTGGAGGTAGGCAGGACAGCCTGCTTCCCATCTAAGGCTTGGACAGGGGCAGGTGGCTGCAGGGCTTTGGGTCCCCATTCATGGTGGCCCCAGCTCTGCTGTCAGCTCCTCAACCAGCTGGTGTCCTTGTTCACTGTAGAAAAGTGGATCAGCTTTAGGCTGGGCGGCTGGGGCTTCCTGTCATCCCAGATGTACTCCGGGGACAGCACCTTGGATGGCTTGTGTGAGATAAAGTGGCGGTTCAGGTGGCTCTCCTCTTGCCAGGTGGCCACGATGCCATTGGCTTTGTCTGTCAGGATGGCCATATGGCAGACCCTGGTAAATTCATATACACTGGCCACTCGCCCCCCCAAAGACTGCCCCACCATAATAGAAGTCCCCCTCGCTGTTGGCCACAAAGGCAGTGGAGGCTCTCCTCCGCTCATAGGGGAACTGCTGGCGGGAGGCAGTGAAGTAGCCTGGGTGAATGGCAGCCACAAGGTCCCCCAAGGTCTCAGGACCCCACAGGTTCCTGAACACCATGTCTACATCAAGGCAGAAGAGGTAGTCTACCTCCCGGTGTGCCCTCTTGGCTATGTGCAGGCTGATGGTCTCCATTCGGCGTGTGGAAATCTCCTCCCAGTGAGAGTGGCGCCTGATGGGGATGATGCTGAGTAGCCGGCCAGCGCCCAGCGGGACCCTGGGAATGGCTGCAGGGTCGTGGGTGAAGATGTAGTAGTGCACGCGGTAGCCATGCATGAAGAACTCCTCGGCCGAGTCCAGGAAGTGCTGGACAAAGCGGGTGTACCTGGTGGCGACAATCCTGCCATCCACTGCTGCCCTTCAGGGCCACTGCCTGGTCCCCACCATGTGCTGGCATCATGCGGGCCACAGGGTTTGGGCTGTCAGGCTGGGGTCCACTTGCTGGCTGCCTCCCTCCCGCTGTCATTCAGGTGACCCTGGGCTCTCGTCTGTCAAGTGCCCACAATCCTACTTCAGCTGAGCATTCCCGACCTGAAAACCCAACTGCAGAGCCTTATTTTTTAATTTTTTTTTTTTGGTACTGGAGATTAAACCCAGGGTGCTTTACTACTGAGCCGCATCCCCAGCCCTTTTTATTTTTTACTTTGATACAGGGTCTTGCTAAATTGCTGCGAGCCTTGCTGTTTGAACTCTTTTTTTTTTTTTTTTTTAAAGAGAGAGTGTGAGACCGAGAGGGAGATTTTTTTTTTTTTAAGAGAGAGAATTTTTTAATATTTATTTTTTAGTTCTTGGCGGACACAACATCTTTGTATGTGGTGCTGAGGATTGAACTCGGGCCGCATGCATGCCAGGCGAGCACACTACCGCTTGAGCCACATCCCCAGCCCGCTGTTTGAACTCTTGATCCTCCTGCCTCAGCCTCCTGAGCCACTGGGATCACAGGCAGGTGCCACCGTGACTGGTTAAACACACTGACTTTCTTTGTGCACTTACTATAAGTGCCAATGTTCTCAGAGAGTCTCGTGATGTTCTCATAGATGCCTACGGGAATGCCCATCTTATAGGCAGCACCACTGAGGCTAAGCTGGAAGAAAGGAGCCGAGAAGCAAGTAGGCGGCAGAGGGAAGGGAACGTGGGTGGTGGATGGCCTGACCCCGCAGGGGCCATTCATCATCTGGTCTGTGCCTTAGACCTCGGGCCCCATCGGGGTCCCAGGTGGTAGCTCCTAAAGGAAGGGCCAGGTAGAGTCAAGAAGAGGAGAGCGGGCAGGGCCGAGGCCAGGACAGGGAGGCCGGCGCCTCCTGCTGCTCCACCTGGGCTGGTCCGCCTCACCTTCCATGCCAGGCCCCGCCTTGCCCCAGCAAGCCCACCCCGTCACCCTTCGCCCTGCACCTTCCTCGGCCTGGCACCTGTGCCCTACAGGGCCTGCCTTCCCCTGCACTGGGAGCTCCCGTGGCTCAGGGAGACCCACCCGCCCACTCACCCCCCACTCACTTCCCCACGGCAGACACGGTGACTCCGATGGTCAGGTTCAGCGGCTGGTAGATGAGCTGCAGCGACTCTGGGTTGAAGGTTCCCTCTGAGACAATGGGCGCCAACCAGGGCGTGAGTGTCAGCAGCTCCATGGGCCTGGTGGCAGGGGAGGGGCCAGTGCTGAGGGCCTCCCTGGGTGGAAGCCTTGGCCACGTCCTGACCCGCCTCTTTTGCTGTGTTACCGGGGGCAACCCCGTGCCTGCCTCTGGGTCTCAGGTTCCCCATGTGGAAAGTGGGGTGGCACCAGCTACCTCACAGCAGGACAGGGAGGACCGGAGCTGGCACCAGCGTGGAGCACGTCTAGAGGAGCCAGGTGTGACCCCGTGGGCTGGTATCATCTGCCCCTCCAGCCTCCTGTGGGGCAGGTGCTACTGTGATCCCCTGCACAGGGGAAGCTCCGCACCATTGGCTAACCTGCCCGAGGTCATGCAGCCAGTGACAGGACTGGGTCCCAGGCCACCCAGACATGAGCACCTCCACCAACTTACGAATCAGTGCTGTCACCCGCCCCCGCCCCCGCCGATGCCAGGAATCTCTGTGCCTCCTACCTCTGCTCCAGCAGCTTGGGCTGAGGGTACAGAGGCCTGCAACCAAGAAGGGCCAGTGTGAGGGGAGGCAGCCCCCCTGGGGCGGGAAGGGGAAATGACAATCTCTTACTGTGCCACAGGCCGGAGGGGCTCCTCCCCCTTGTGCTGCTGCTTCAGGTTGCTGTGCAGAGGTGAGAGAGAGAGAGAGAGAGAGAACACGCCGTTAGTTCCTGGCAGGAGGGGGCCTGGGCTGGGCCGACTCCTGCTGACCTCCCCACAGCTTCATTTTGGGCTCCTAGGGTGCGGCCTGCCCAGGGCCAGAGGGAGCAAGCACTAAATTGCCTAGTCTGGCCTCACGCTTCCTGTCCTCCTTCCCTAGCCTCCATAGTAGCTGGGATTATGGATATGCACCACTGCCTCCTGCCCTCAGGTGGTTTTATATAAAGGAATTCGCCCTGGGTAACCCGGTGGGCCTAGTCACGTTAGTCGAAGGACCTCAAGGACATAACTGAGGAAAAAGACGTGTGGCCTTGGACCGCAGGGTTGGCTCCTGCCAGTGAGTCCAGCCTGCCCGGAGGGCCCTCGCCAGCACAGGTGCCCATTCTGCGTCTCCGTGGCTGGCTGGCTCATTTCTCCCTGGCTGAGACTTGCACCTTTCCTCATCTGTGGAACAGGAGCCATCCTGACCCAAGTGGCTGTGTGAACAGGAGCCATCCATCAAACAGGAGGAAGGACGTGCCCAGCATTGGCCAGCACTCAAAGAGGGCAGTTGTCCTGGCCACTTCAGTGTCCACTAGCTTCAACAAAGGTCATACTGAGTGCAGAAATAACAGGAGGTGGCAGGGCTGCAGGCCAGGCCCTGGGCTTGGTGCCAGCAGACTGAAGGGCCTGGGCCAGACCCTGACTCCACGGGCTCTTGTCCCTCCTCTGCCTGCCACAGGGAGTGGGCTAAGGCTCAGAGAGGTTAGAGGCCTGCCCCAGGCTGCCCAGCAAGCAGTGGTGGTAGAATCGGCTCAAAGAAGCCGGGTAGACGGCCAGGAGGCGGTCCCAAGGGTCAGGGACCAGAGACGGCTCACATAAGAGGATGGCTGCAGCCTCCTTGAGTTCTCCCACCCCTAGTCTGGGGCTTCCTTTCACGTGGCAAAACATACAAACGTGAGATTTGCCATTTTAACCATTCTTAAGCATACAGTTCGGGGCTGGGGGTGTGGCTCGAGCGGTAGTGCTCTCGCCTGGCATGCGTGTGGCCCGGGTTCGATCCTCAGCACCACATACAAACAAAGATGTTGTGTCTGCTAAACTAAAAAAATAAATATTAAAAAATTCTCTCTCTCTCTCTCTTTAAAAAAAAAAAAAAGCATACAGTTCAGTGGCACTAAGCACGCCCATGTCGTGGTGCCACCCAAAGGCACATGTGTTGAGGGCTTGGTCCCCAGTGCAGCCGTGTTGAGAGGGGGGCTCTCAGGAGGGATCGGGACCCTGCAGGCTTGACCTCTCCGTGGATGAGTCCCTCGGTAGGTTCGTGGCTCATGGCGTTACTGGCAGGTGGTAGAAACCGGCAGGTGGGCCCAGTGGAGGGAAAGTCCCTGGTGTGCCCTGGAGGGGCATTTCTTGTCCCCACCGTCTCTGTTCTCTCTGCTCACTGGCTCCCGTGAAGCGAGCACCTCTGGTCTGCCACGTCCTTCTGCCATGAGGTCCTGCCACACCACAGGCCCAGAGACAGCACGGCCATCGACCATGGACCAAAACCTCTGAACCCCGGAGCAGAATAAAGGCTCCTCCTTTGAGGACTTTCCTCGGGCACTTTTGTCCCAGCAACAAAAAGCCGACTGATAGGACTGCTCTGTGTGTCTAGAATGTTCCCTTCACCCCAGACAGAAACGTGGCACCTGTTAACAGTAGCTCCCTATGGCCCTGTCCCCAGGAAAAGGACCACCGTGTCGCTGGTGACCGTTGTCTAACTCTGCTTCCTGAATCTGACTACCACAGGGACCTCTTTTAGGTGGACCCACAGTCCTCGTCCTTTTGCGATTGGTCTCTACTTGTTATTTTCTTGGTCGTGGGGATGAACCCAGGAGCACCCTACCATTGAGCTACAGCCCCAGCACTTTTAAAATTTCATTTTGAGACAGGGTCTTGCCAGGTTGCTGGCGACTAAAACACTCAAGGTCACTCCAAGGGATCTGGGCTGTGGGAAATGACCACACAAGAGACAGAAATACGTTTTTCTTTGGGGGGGGGGGTCCTGTGACGGCTCCTCTGACCTTAAGGGTCCGCAGAGAGAGAAAAAGAGAGAGAGCGCGTGCGTGCAAGAGCATGAGAGCGAACAGGCTGACCCCTTTTATTGAGGAGAAGCTATTCAAATAAGGCAAGGGGTCAGGTTTCAGGGGGCTGAGTCTATCCTCAAGATGTCCACTAGCAGGTTGATTGACATGTAGAAGGACTACACCCAAGGACAGAGTAAAAGAAGGGGACACACAAAAGGCGTCTCCATGGAACATTCTATCCCAAACAGGGCAAGGGGTAATATTACAAAGGAACAGGGGAGCACAGCTCCACCCATGGGGCAGGCAGGCCCATGCACGAAGACACTGTCACACGAAAGATCGGGGCTATCGTCTGGGTTCCCTAGGCAACCAGATCACAGAGTGACACACTGCCACACCACTCAGAAGGGGAGACAGACACAGTCACGTGCTAGTCGGCCTGCCACACGGTCTCACTTAGTTGCCCAGGCTGGCCTCAATTTTGGGATCCTCCTGCCTCAACCTCCTGAAAAGCTGGCAATCCAGGCGTGTGCCACTGTGTCCAGCTGAGTCTCTCTTCTTGAACTGATGAATTTCCAAATTCAGCTCATCTATTTGGACCTCTGCCCTCGTTTTTTACAACAGCACTTCAGGTCTCTTCTCTCCACAAGTACAAACAGGCACCAGCCACGCTGCGGCCTCAGAACATAAAAGCTGGGTCTGGAGGGTGCAGCTCAGTGGCGGGGCATCTGCTTGGCATGAGTGAGGCCCTGGGTTCCACCACCCAGCACCAAAACAAAACAACAAAAACAAAACCCAAAACCAAAACAAAAAACCCCCAAACACTTCATATTTCTAAACCTCTGAAGGTAGTAAATGGAAAGTGAAGGAATCCAAAGGAAGAAAGAACTAAAACAGACACAGGTTTTCAACTTCAGTCTATCACAGAACCATCCAACAGAACCAAGAGGCACCCTGGAAGAAAGCCAAGGCTGAGGTGGTGCACGACAGACGCGACCAGGACAGACACGGGACCAGGACAGAAGAGGAAATGCAAGTGACACCGTGGGGGGAAGGGGCCTTGTGGGTGGTCAGGGGAGTGGAGCTTAAACCAGAGAGGGCACGGCCACCTCCAGAATCAGCAAGGTGGCTCTCTTTTTCTCCCCAGCACTAGTGGGGGTGTGGTAGAGGGTGGGTTCCCTGGGTACTGCCCAGGCTGAGCTGCTGCTCAGGAATGTGTGTGATGTGCTGTGGTCCTTCCGGAAACCAGCTGTGAAGAGGGATCGAGAGCCCATCCGTACCTGCTGGCCTGGGGGGGGGGGACGTCCAGGAGCCACCTTCATGGAGGTGTGGGGGCCGTGCCCACAGCTGCTCACCACGGACCCACAGGTCACGGGGAAACAAGTGCCCAACAGCTGGTGGGAAAGGAAGAGAGGCTCCCAGCCCCTGGGTGGCATAAAATGACAGTGACCAAGAGCAGCAGGGACACACACTGGAAGTCAGTGCTGGGAAGAGGTGGAAACACCATCCCAGCTGCGCTCGCTAGACAGCAAGCCTTTGCTTCAGCACCGTGGGATGGAGCCGTTCAGGTGGACAGTGGGAGGGGCTTCGTAGGCAGGGTGGGGCAGGACGGGTGGGTGGGTGGCTCCCCTTTTCTTCTGTCTTTTCTGTTTCCCAGCTTCCCAGCTGCTAGGGCTGGACACGGTGTGAGTGTTGAAGTGTGATCCCTGTTGAGAGGCAGGAAGAGGCTTGATACTAAGTCCATCGTGGGAGGCCATCAGGGTTGTGTAAGGTGATCAGGGTGGGGCCCCGCGAAGGCATCTGCTGGCTTTACAAGGGGGAGAGAGACCAGGAGGTGCACACGCACGTGCACTCCCTGTCTCTCACCACGGTCCTCCTGTGCTGTCTGGGAACTCTGTCCACAGGAAGGCTGTGACCTGATGCAGCCCTTTGCCCTTGGACTAGAACCCTGAGCCAACATAAGCCTCTTCTTTTTAACTGGCCAGCCTGTGGAGGTGTGTAATTAGCAACAGAAGTGACCATGGACCACGGCCCTAATTTACTACAGTCTGTGTTTATAACAGTGCAACCTGCCTTGCTGCTCACTGGCTGACCATCCAGATGTGTGACTTCCTGTGGCTGTAGAGTCAAAAGCCCCCAGGGCCCAGATGCCCCTTTGAGTTGTCCCAACCCATTTGTTCACTCTTAGCTGTCAAAAAGGCAGAGTCGCCAAATGAGGAAGGTGTCAGTCAAATGTCAGTTTGTTCCTGAAGTCCACATGGAACACATTGAGTGAAAGGCCGTGTCCTGAGAGCACTGTCTACTGGCCACCTGCTCTGCACCAGGGCAACGCCAGGCTACACATCCAGGTTCTGTGTGGCCCAGGAGGGGACCCTCACCCATCCCATTTTAGAGCTGTGCAGCCTATATAAGGCCAAAACACACAGGGCACAAAGATGCGCCAACTCAAGTGGCCATCTCGCGCCACATCTGTGGCAACCCGAACATCCCTAGACACCACAGCAGTTCAGCAGAACACAAGCTTAGGACCCAGGAAACTGCAGACAACATGCCCCTAAAATCACTTGTGTCTCTCGAAATGTGAGCAGCCCCATACTTACAAGATCTCTGGGCAGGGGAGGTAGTAGGGCACATAGGAGACGGGCGGCCAGTTCCTGACATAGGCCCTGGGAAGGAAAGACACCTGTTGACTCAGGCTGACACCCACGTGGTGCACGTTACTGGAAGTGAAGAACACCAATGGTGCATTTGGGGGATCCCCTGTCATTCTAGAGCCTGGTGGTCTTTAGGACAAGGCCTCCTAGAATTCCCCGTGGACACCAAAGGGCCCTGATGTAGCTATTTGCTCACCCATAGCAATTTATTCCTGGGGCATGCATGGGCTTGACCAGTTGCCCACAAAGCAGTGGGGTGAGGCGCAGCCCCAGGAGCTTCTCAGAAGGGTACTGGGGTTCGTGAACTTGGGAGCATGAACAGGAGCTGCTCACCAACACGGGTAGAAGGATGGTGTAGGCAGAGCAGACTTCAGGACAAAGGTGGGAGGACCGTACAAGGCAAAATTCAGAAGCTGAAACTAATTAGGTCTGGCTGGGGCTGGGGCTGGGCCTAGGGGAGAGGTGCCAGAAGAGGTTGATGGAACCTGGAAGACCTTAAGGTGGTCAAAGTTTGGGGTTGAGGTGCAGAGGCAGGGAGGGTGGGGTCCATGGGGCAACTTACCACAGGGCCCAGAGGCTTGTGCCGGCCAGCAGGCAGAGCCCCAGGCCCAGGGCTGGTCTCCAGCGGAGCATGGCTGAGTGCTGCACCAGAGCCTTGCCACCTTCAGAGACCGCTGGCTCCTTGGCCAAACAGTCCCTTTCCTCCCAGGGCAGTCAGGCTCTGAGCCTGCCTCTTGGCAGTCCTGAGATGCTGAGGTCCCCAAAACACCTGCAAAGGAATGCTGTTTATTCCAGGGCAGGGCACCCACTTCTGCACCTCTCTCTGTGACGTCCTTCCCAGCAATGCAGACCCTAGGCCTCTCCTCCTTCAGGTCACTGCAGAGGCGGACAGGTGGCAGGCACTCAGTGCTTAGCTGGAGCTGTGGCTGGGGCAGCTCTGGTGTCTCGCTCCCTCCCTGCGGCCTAGAAGAACAGAGGCCCGTCCTCCCAGGGGCTGGGACGCTGAGGCGGGGCTTAGCGGATTCTCCGTGGAAACCACAACTGGAACCAAGCCCGGCGCCAGAATAGCAGGGACACACCTAGTCCCCTAGGGTGCGCGGCAGGCAGCTGGGAAATTCCTGGGGAAGGAATTTCCTTCGGGAGGAGCGGGGCGACTAGGTTTTCCAGGGGACCACTGGGAGGCGCTTCCGCCCTCACTGGCTTGGTGACCTCGGACAGCCTCAGGGTTCTCTGCTAAAGGGGTTGGGAACAGCACGCACCACCGGTGGGCATGTGCGGGAATGGCTGTAAAGCGCTCCGCTGCGGTGGATCAAGGTCAGACATCCCGGGGTCAGGGTTCTGGGGTTTTGGCCTCTGCTCACTCGAGGGTCTCTGGCAATCCTACTCCCCCTCTTTCGCTCTGGGGCCTCCGTTTCCCCACCTGGGCTTCAGCAAGCAGCATCCTCCAAGCCCTCGCTTCCACTGCTGGGCCCAGGACTCAGGGCCTCTCCTCTCGCCTGGAGTGCAGACCCCGGAGGCTGGGGCCGAGGCGCGCACCTGCAGGTCTGCCGGCCAGAAGGGCTCAAGGTTCGGACTTCCCTCCGCTCACGCGCGGCGCGGTAGGGTAGGGCAGGTGGGAGCGCAACTGTCCCCGAGGGGTGCAGACTCACTCCTTGAGGCCGCACCAGTTGTAGGATGGACGCAGGGACGTACCTCTGTCCGGAACCAAGGAGTCGGCTCCGTGCACCTAGCAGCGCGCAAGCCGGGTGCGCGGTCTCTGGCCTGGGGTGGTCTCTGGGCTGGGGCGGATAAGTCCCTGGGGGTGGAAGCTGCGCGCCCCGCCCTCCAAACGGCAGCAGGCGGGTCGCCCTGACTCCACCCCCGCGCCCCGCCCCGCCCCCCCCCCCCACCGCAGGCGGGTCGGCTCCGGTGTCCAGCTGGCAAGGTCTGAGCCCCGCAATCTGGGCTGTGGCGTCATCTCGGAGAATGGGACTCCGCCTGGGAGGCAGCAGGGTGCGGGCCGCCCAGCTTGCAGTGAGAAGCCGGGACGGGACCAGAGCATGAGGTAGGAAGGAAAGTATAAGGGTGGGTGGCTAACGGGAAGGGAGCACGAAACGGGAACTCTAAAGACGCTCCCAGAGCGCCTTCTTCAGTACCCCAGAAGTTCTCAGCCCCGGCTCCTGTGCCAGTCCAGGTGATTGCATCACGCACTGTGCTTACACGAAATGTTTCTTATAGAGTAGATAAACCAAGGTGGGGGATGTTGTTAGAGACTTATGGGCATATGCCGAAAGTTAGCTAGATGGCAGCCCAGGGATCCCCAAAAGAAGAAGACCAGTGACCCGCCTTGTGCTCCGGCCAAAGTCAACCCACCCACTTCTTGGGTTCACTGTTCATGAAGTTTCCTCTAAAAAGAGCCCATGCCAGTGCATTGGTGCAGGCCTGCAGTCCCTGCCACTCCAGAGTCTGAGGCAGGATTGAAGCTTGAGGCCAGCTTCAGCAACTTAGTGAAACCCTGTCTCAAAAAAAGGTGCGTGAGTTGGGCTAGGGATGTGGCTCAAAAGGTAACCCGCTCGCTTGGCATGCGTGGGGCACTGGGTTCGATCCTCAGCACCACATAAAGATGTTGTGTCCACCAAAAACTAAAAAATAGATATATTAAAAAAAACTCTCTCTCTCTCTCTCTCTTTTAAAAAAAAAAAAAAGGTGTGTGTGTGTTGGGGTGGGGCAGGGATGTGGCTCAGTGATGAAGGGCCCTGGGTTCAATCCTAGTCCACCGCCCCACGCCCTGCCATGCTCCTGACCCCAAAAGGGCATCTTGCTCTGAAGCACCCCACTTCCTGTCTTTGAGCACCTCACTTTCTCTGTTGCGTGCTTTCCTGAATGAATCTGTGTGCCTCTTTTGAAGCGTCCTGAGATTCCTTTCTGTGGTGTAAATCAAGAACCCACCAGGGCTGAGTTGAGTTTCCCTTCTCTCTTCTGGGGGACCTCCTTGGACCCCTGTCCAGTGACAGGCAGACACTTCACTGTGTGTAGCAGAGTGTCCAAGTGGTCATGGAGAGGGGGAGCCCGCTGGATGCAGTTCACTGTGGGTTAGGGTTGACTTCCCTTGCTCAGGGCCTCCAAGCCTGGCTTCTCTCTTAGCTGGGGACTAGCAGCAGCCCCAGCATCTCCTGGAGCCTCATGGGACTGGCCATGCTTCCCTCCCATGGCCTGGCTGGTAGCATGCGCCCGCCCAGGAAGGGCTGCTGTGGCTTCCCCAGGTGATCTGGGAAGGGCCCTGGGACATTGTGCCAGGGGTACAATAAGCAGGAGGTGAAGGAGTGGGCTTGGGAGGCAAAGGCCTCTGCTGGGTGCCTGAGGGCCGAGGGGGTAGGAGGGGCAAAAAGAAGGGTCCCTGAGGGTACACAGGGAGAGGGTAGTAACAAGGAGGTGGGGAGGGGCAGAAGTCAGTCAGGAAAAGAGTGGAAACTAAAGTCCTTGGTGACGACCCTCGAGAGGCTGTGGGATTGCTCAGTCAGGACATAACTTGAAGTCACAGACCCAGGTCTGCCTCCCAGGCCCCTCAGGGGTGGGCTAGCCTGTGTCCAGAGGTTCCTGTGGCTGGACTGTTTCCTCAAGCTGCAGGTGCCTGTGCCTGGCATGGCCATGGAGCTGGTGAGTGCCAGCTGGAGACATGCTTCCAGTTCAGCGGCAAACAGGGGTTCCCTCGGGCCTGGTGGACCTGGCGACCTGGCGTGGGGCCTCCTGATTCATTTTCCTTCCTTGGTTCCTGTTTGCGAATTCCCTGGTCTGCCTTGGGGCCACTGGCACCTTCCTGGTAACTGTTATCTGATAAAGAGAGGACACTCCTACGCCAGTTCCCTAACAGGCAGGAGGACACTGCCTATCGGCCACAACCCTGTTCTGGTCCAGTCTGTCCTCTATCCCAGAGGAGGGCAACGACTACAGCTGGCCTGGAAGGGCTGACGGAAAGGTCCCTGAAGAGACAAGAGACCGCGCCTTAAAAACGTAACAAGCAACGACTGGGGGGAGAGGACGGCGCCAGGAAGGCAGGAGGGGCCTGGGACATGCTTCTTATTGGAGCACCCAAGTGGACAGATCTGGGGACTTGGGCAGGACCCACAAGAGGAATGAGACCAACCCAGTACTGAGTCGTAGGAGCCCTCGGGAGATGGCTCAGTATGTTAGCCAGTCCTCTCTCTCTTTCTCTACCTTTATAAAGACTCGTATTTAATATACTAAGTGTCTTTTGAGGAGGAGGCAGACCCTGAAGCTGGGGTCCAGATCAAGGTCCCCACTGTGGCTTGGGTGCCATACTGTCCCACCTGTTAGGCCATGAGCTCAGGGCGGGGGGCAGAGGAAGGGAGAGGGGCTCTCTGTTGTCGCCCAGATCCTGCACACACAGGTGCCTGATGTATGCATGCATGCCTGACTGAGTGACCCCAGACCTCTCTGTGTCTCAGGATCCTCATCTGTAAAACAACAGCACCCACCTCATAGAGCTGTTGGGAGGGTCACACCAATTCCTTCACCTATTTATTCAGTAAACAGCAGGTGGCTCCTGTGTGTCAGGCGCTGCTCTGCAGGCCTGGGAATACAGCACTGAGCACGCACAGCCCTGTTCCCATGGAGCTGCCTCCAGTGGGGGTTAAGTGAGGGGATGCAGGTGACAGGTGTACGTCCTGAGCTCAGCTGGGAGCAGCTGCTTGGATGGGCAGGTCATGCACAAGTCCAAGTCCAGCAGCTCAGGGCCAGCCCCAGTGGGACCTGTGGAAGAGGGTGCGTGGGGACCATGATGCTGTGGTTTAGATAAGTGTCACCAAAGGCCCATGTGTTAGAAGCTTGTCCTGCAGTATGGTGCAATTGGGAGCTATAAGAGGTAGGACCTGGGGGGCCTTCCGGTTGTTTGGTGCATGCCTTTGAAGGGGATTCTGGGACCCCACCCCCTTCTTTTCCTTGTGTGTCTCTTTTGTAACCAGTCATAAGGTGAGTGGCCTTCTTCCAGCATGAAGAGCTTTCTTGCCACATACCCAAAAGCAACAGGGCCACTCAACCATGTACAGAAACCTTCAAAAGTGTGAATGTGAGCCAGAAGAAACCTTTTGTCTTTACGAGTTGACTGTTTCAGGTATTTGTTATGGTAACAGAAAGCTGACTCACACACCTGATGTGACCATTCATGCCACCCAGTATTCCTATGTGGCTGTTCCTCTTCCTGGTCCTCAGATTTTCACTTGTAAAATGGACATATGAAGGAACCCATCCCTCAGTTCCATAATGAAGTGATCCTAAGATGGAGAGGTCTGTTTTCTTACTAGCAATCCCAGAGGGCTGAGGTATGGGTTTAGAGAGAGAAGTGGGCAACATCCTTTTAGGGGCTGGCTAAAGTCCCCTCTTGACTCTAAGGCCAGTTCTTGGCCTCCACACCACACACAGACTCTCCACAATTGGCCCCCAACTTTGACTCATCTCTGGATTGCGAGAGCACTTCCTAGCAGCAAGGGACTCCATGACTGAGGACACCCAAGAGTGAGCTGGGCACCAAGACCCCCAGGCCTTCACCTCCAGGGGAGTGAGGAGAGCATGCAGAGCTTCCCCGGCCATGGAACTCTGCAGAGGGGCTTGGCAGGGTGCAGCCGGGCCTGGGAGCTCAGC